TGAACCACAGTGTGGGGTGCTGGCGATTGAACCTGGGTCCTCTGCAAGAGCAGTCAGTGCTCTTAAGCACTGAGCTATCTCTTCAGCCTCTGTTTTGTAAAACTTGGGCCTAAATACACCAGAAGCCCTCCCCTCTGTTAGATTTGTAACAAAAAGTAATATGAATGGAGATAGTGTTTCTTTTCTTTTTTCAGTTGGAAAATAACTATTTGTTCTAGGGAGTTGGCCAGAGTCCTCTCAGAACTTCTGGAACTTCTTGGTGTCGGCAGCCTTGGTGACCCTGATCACATTGAAGTGCACTGTCTTGCTCAGGGGCCTGCACTGTCCCATGGTGACAGTGTTGCCGATTTGCACATCCCTGAATCAGGGGGACAGGTTTGCACAGATATGTTTTTTTGTGGTGTTTCTCAAAGCAAATGGACTTACAGATGTAGTAGAGATAGTCAGAGAGAATGACAGTGGTCCTCTGAATCTTCATCTTGGTCACTACACCAGACAAGCTCTGACCTCGGATGGAGATGTTACCAGTGAAGGGGCATTCCCTGTCTATGCAGGTGCCCTCCATGGTCTCTTTGGCCATCTTGAAACCTAGACTAATGCTCTTGTACTGAGGAAGTTTTTCCTTGCCAGTTTCTTCCAGCAGAATCCACTTCTTGTTTTGAAAGACTGTGGGTTTCTTTTGGGAAGCACACAGGGTCTGAACGTCTTCCCAACAACCTGAGGGGGAACAGGGAGATAATGTTTCTAATACAGTTTGGACCCAGAAGCTATACAGAGCTGGTAAAGAGGCTGACCATGTGTTAGAATTCCCACAGGGCCAAGGTCTCCCTACAAGAGCCTCACAACTCCACCTGCACCCTCCAGAAGGTACAACAATTAATCACCAAGAAAGCCCAACCCCCACTCCCTTATCCTATCAAAGTCTTCATCTCCACTGTAATACACTTTCTGGATAAACGTCTGGTGGGAGCTGAAAACACTGAAGCTGTCACCCAAAAGACAGAGATTGTAAGATGTCGTATGTGAGACTAATTCTTCTTGTCCACTTGAAAAACTTGTGTGCCATGTGAAAACATTTTAAAGAATGTATCTAGGGGCTGGAGAGGTGGTTAAGAGTGTAAGAGCACTTGTTGCAGCCAGCACTCAGGAGACAGGCAGGTGGATCTCTGAGTCCAAGGCCCAGCCTGGTCTACAGAGTGAGTTCCAGGACAGCGAGAGCTACACAGAGAAACCCTGTCTCGGGAAGAGAAAAAATCACATCTGTTGTTCTCCCAGAGGACCTGGGTTTGATTCTCAGCCTCCACATGGTGGCTCACAACCATCTCTAGCTCCAGTTCCAAGGGATCTGATGCTCTCTTCTGGCCTCCAAAGCACCAGGCATGCATGTGGCGTACATGTATGTGTACATGATGCTTAATCAAACAAATAAAACACCTGTACACATAAAATAAATTTATACACATAGGTATTTACAAATACAATCTCTCTCTCATATATATATATATATATGTATATATATATATATATATATATTTCAAACTATGGAGCCCCTTTCTCTTCATTTCCCTTGCCTCTGAACTTGGGCTAATCTGTCTTCCTGTCTCTGGCCACACCCCTCCAGCAAATCTGTCACTTCTCTGAGTCTTGCTGTACCAAGTTGTTTTTCTCTGTGTACGCTGTTGTTAAGTGGGAGTGACTGTATCTTACTGCAGAGTTATCTGAGGAGACACTCCAAGGGCACCTCAGGGCAGCCTTGCTATAGCCATCTCTGATGCAGTCACACCTCTGCAAGCCAGGACATCCTTAGTGCCAGCCACAAGACAGCTGGTCCCTCAGATCCAGCCTGGGACCAAGCCAGCCTGATTCTCCACACTCTGCCTTGGGCGTGTGGAGTCAACCAGGAGACGACTGATGGAGAGGTGTCTTATGCTGAGTGAGGCTGTTTAGGATCTCAAGATGGACCTGTACTGAACAGCCCTGGCCAGTGAGTGGAAGTGATAAGAAGGTAGGGCAGAGCTCTGAGTGACGGGCTCAGACTGGTACTGCCAGCTGGACCAGAATAATTCCTTCTGCCAGGACCTGCCCTGGCTTCATGCCTGCTCCAGGGACTGCACAGCAAAGAAGCTGAGAGATGAGAGAGTGGGGGAGTTGGTGGTGGCAGCAGACAGGGTGTGCCAGCCATGTCCCTGCAGGAAACTGCTCCTCCCATGGACCCTGGGAAAGCAGGGCTGTGGGTTTAGGAACGAGTGTGTGTGTGTGTGTGTGTGTGTGTGTGTGTAGGGCACATCTGAGAACAATTGTACACATTGGTGTGGATACATGTAGTTGTATGTATATGTGGAAGCTTGAGATTGAGGCTGGAAATCATTCTCCATTGCTTCTACCTTATTCATTGAGACAGCTTAATCAAACTCAGAGCTGGACCGGGCTGGTCTTCCAAGCCAGATTGCCCTAGCCAGACAAGTCCCCTATCTCCACTTCCAAGGCTGGGATTACAAGTGGGCTCAGGCATTTGTGTGGATTCTAGCGATCTGAACTCTGGTCTTCATGCTTGCATGACAAGTGCTTGACCGCTGAGTCATCCCCCCTGGCCTTCATTTTTTCCTAAGAGCCTCACTGTGTTCCCCAGGCTAGTCTTGAACTCAAGGTCCTATTGTCTTTGCCTTCCAGGCACCAGGACTACAAGCATGCACCATTATACAAAGCTCTTGTCTCTTCTTTTTGAGAAGGTCTCATATAGCCTCTAACTCTCTTTGTAGCTGAGGCTGGCATTGAACTCCTAAACCTAATGGCTGGGTTGGCAGTGCTGATATTACAGACAGTCACCATCACACCCAGTTGATTTGGTGCTGGGGATGGAACCCAGGCTTCCATACATGCTTGGCAAGCACTCAACCACTGACTTATGTACTAAAGCTAGATTGGCTTTTTTCTTCTTATTTTTTGTTCATTTACTTTGTGTGCTTGTGTATTTGTGTGGACTCGAATGTGAGTGTGCCATGGTGAGCATGTGAAGGTCAGAGGAAAACTTTTGGGAGTAGGTTTTCTTCTACTAGGTAGGATCATCAGGCTTGGCAGCAAGTGCTAGGCCATCTTTCCAGATTAGGTTTGGTTTTTTTTGAGACAGGTCTTACCATATAGCTCAGGCTAGGCTGGAGTATTATATCCTCTTGTCTCTGACTCCTGAGTGCTAGGATTACAGATCTGTACCACTGGCTGCATCCATGGAATAATAATAATAATAATAATAATAATAATAATAATAATAATAA